AAGAGAGGACAGTTGAGTGCATCTGTGGAGGGCATGTAGACACTTCATAACGACCCGGGATTCCTTGTTTTTCTGAGCACATTAGGTATCAGGAAGGTAGAGCTGGGATGTAAGTATGCTGCTGACCAGCATTCTGACCCTGGCCATAGTTCTAACACCTGTGAGATGAGAGAATACGATCTGACTCAAATGCAGCAAAGTTTTCATGAAGATGTGTAACTGTTTGTGGCCTGCAGGTGTACATGACTAGGGAGATGAGATGAGACAGACACACGCGCACACACACACACATTCAGATGCGGTTGTGATAGGGAACGGACAGAATTTAAGGGAGAATGAGGCAGGAGAGCAATTGGTTTCACCTTTGGAGGAGGTAGGCCTTGAGTATGGTTGAATAAGATGCTACTGGGTGGCTATGGAAGTAAAGAGGAGGTGTCTGGAAGATAAAACAGGCGAACACAAAGAGGGAGCAGAAGACTGGGCAGGTGCAGAGGGGCAGCCCTGGGGGAGAGCAGCAGGTGGCTATGTGTGAGCACAGGGACATACCACAGAGCAGGGACCCAGGCAACATCTGCTGAGTGACAGTGGCGGCAGTGAGGTTGTACTGGAAGACAGGGGAAGCCCTCTTCCTGGCAGGGAAGCCACATGCGTGTGGAATTCATATGGGTTTCTAAAAGAGAGACAGGCCACTCTGATGGGTTCTGTGTCCAAGAATAGGGAGACCACAGGAGGAGAGGCCCAAAGGCCGAGAGGTAAGGTCCAGGGAGGAGACGGAAAGGGCTTCAATTCAGACAGCAACAGCAGGGTGGGAGGGATTGGAAAAATAGCACAGAACCTCCTTCAGGCATCCAGAGGCAGATCAGACATGGAGGGAGTCAAAGAAGATGGACAGAATGTTGGGGGCTTTGAGCCTGGGCAGTGGGGATGGTAGAAATACAGAAACAGAGACAAACTGCCTCAAGGAGAGGTTTGGGGAGGAGATATCAGTTCAGTTTTGTGCAGTTCAGTTTTCTACAGGGTGTCTAAGCAGAGACAGCTGGCAGAGCAGACAGGTAGAAATGCGGGGATTTCGGGAGCTGGAAATCGGGGGCTCATGGAAGCAGTGGCTGAAGATGTGGATACAGAGGAGATAGAAGGGAGTGCTGGGAGAGGAGGCCAGGCAGGCAGAGGAGCAAGTAAAGAGCACTGGGACAGAGAGAAATGGAAGCCTGGCAGGAAGCCACCAGGAGAACCCATGGAAGGGATGCAAAGGGTGGATGGGAAGCCCAGCAACTCTGAGGAGGCAGCTAGGGCTTAGCTCCTGAGTCACTGTCGTGAGGAGGACCACTGAGAATAGGCCCCAGCAGTAGCCGATGGCCAGGGCTGGAGAAGAGGAAGAGGAAAGGACCCTAATGAGAAGTGTGTGATAAAGGGGACGAGAGCAGAGCTGGTAGGCTGAGAGAAAGCCGTCTAAGGGAAGCCCTTGTAGGATGAGGAAGAGGACGCCATGCTTGTGGCTGTGCACCGGAAGCACCGGAGATGCTGCCGCACAACTTACAGTCCAGGCTGAGGACGGTGGCCACCTGGCGTGGAAGACATGGGAGCTGTTGTATTTGGACCCAGGTATGAAAGTTAGTTTTGCAAAGGAAGTGAGGACATCATCTGTCCCTCCAGGAGGGAGGGAAGGGTAGTGGTATGAGTGAGCGAAGTCTGAGGGGGCTGAAAGGAGACTCCAGGGGCCCTGTGGGAAGGCCTGGACCTCACTGAGAGATTCTGCAGGTAGAAGGTAGAGGTGGGTGTCTGGAGCATCTGAGGAGAATGACAGTGGCCAGCTGACTGTGGCCTGAGGGGAGAGCTGGGGACTCAGCCAGTGCTGGGCCTGCAGCTGCACCTTCTCTGGGGCCCACAGCCTCAGGTGTGGAATGAATGAAGTGGATGGCCATACGGGGCCCTCAGGGCAGGCCTGGGGAGAGTTGAGAGTGAGGGCGCTGAATGTCTGAGATCAGGTGGGCGAGGGAGCCCAGGGAAGCTCCTAGGGGGAGAGGCGGGGGCACAAGAGCCAAGGTAAGAGCAGGAGAAAGGACAGGTGAGGGGAGGAAGCTGCGGCCAGACAGTGGATATCAGTAGCTGAGGTCTCAAAGTGAGTGGCTGGAGGTTCTGAGGGAGCCAGGCAGGTAAGTGAAAGATAGTGCAGGGGCTGAGAAGTAGGGGCCCCAGAGGAGGGGCTGCAGCATGGAGAAGGGAGCGGCTGGGCTGGCTGCAGAGCTGAGGAGCGACTGAGAAAGAGGCAGCAGCAGGGCTGGGGCCCAGAGCCTTGGCGGGGGACATTGCTGTGCACAGTCCTTCTCTTCATTAAGCAACTGCACCTGTTGGGAAGCCAGGTCAGCTCCCAGAGGCAAAGGGGGGCCTGCCCTGTTCATGCTCACTGAATCCAACTCCTTGAGGGCCTGGGCTGAGGTGCTGAGGCCTGAGTTTCATGCCTGGGGACTGTGATGCCGAGGAGAGGGCATCAAAGGCAACTCCTTCAGCAGCTGACCCACGGCCGGCCCTGCCCAGGAGCACTCTGCAAGGCCCCTGGCTACCTGCAGCTGCTCTCCTTTTCCAGGGAGGTTAAAGCCCCATTCTAGGTTAGGCCCTTAGGCATGGAGAGTCCAGCTATTCCTCTTTCACAGCCCCGGGACTCCCTCATCGGGCACAAGCAGGGCTGCTCTGAAGCGAGGAGCATCTCCTGCGTGCTCCCACGCCAGGAGCCAGGGAACTGGCCTAGGGAAGGACTCCGGGTGGGGGCGGACAGGCCCTCGGCACTTCCCCTCTTAGAGACAAGCCAACAGCACAGCTGGACGCCCTACTCTCAATTTGTTCAGCTCAGTTGGATTCTCTTTCTCTCCCTGGTGAGCTTCAGTTTGGAGTCGTTTGCTCTTCATCAGCAGTTTCTGGAAATGTGGTATTTGGAGAGGGTTGGGGAGGCCTAAGAGAAGGGAAGGGAACCCTGAGAGGCTGTGATGGTGCCCAGCCATGCCTGAGGTGATCTCCTATGGGCATGTGCCGTGCCTGACCCTCAGGCCTGCCGCCCTCATCAGACCCAGGTGTCCATCCTCAGGCCTCTCAGGACCTTTGGCCTCATACCACCCCTAGCTAGAAACTGCCATGGGCTCCTTCCACCCAAACGAGAACCTTTCTTTCTTGATTCCTTCCCCTGAGGTCTGAACTTTCTTTGCCTTTCGGCCTGGCTCTTCTTTCCTCGAGAGGCCTGTGTGAGAAGGGGCAGGAGGTAGGCTGGGCCTGTCTTCCTGGGCGATTGACACCCCATCCTCCTGCATTGCCAGCCCCTCTCTTCCTCCCCAGCACCCCACAGGACAGCCCTGGCCCTCCTTAGAGTGCACCTCCCCGGGGGCCATGTGCTCCCTGCCCTTTCCTGGTGCTCCGTGGTATTTGTCCTCAGCAGAGGAGGGAGGCGCCAAGGCTTTGTGCAGAGACCCCGGGCAGAAGAAGATAAATGGAATTTGCAATAAATCCAGGAGCAAAGTTGTAACTTGACTTAAAAACAAACAAAAGGGCCAGAACTGCACTTAAGCTCAGCAGAAGCTCATCTCCCAGTGTAAACAGAAAAGGGCGGACGTGGGCTGAGGAGCCTCTTGGGCCTGGGCTGGCGAGGGAGGGGTCTGGAGCGGGGCTGGCCGCAGACTTCCTCTGGAAGAGATGGGCTGTGGGGGAGGGTCTCTGTGGCCTTGTGAAAGGAGAAAGAGGTGCTGGCATTGCTGTTGTTTGCCAGGCGTTTTTCCGTGACTTACCCTTTTGAAAGGATACTCTCAGGATTGAGACAAGAAGGTTGTTGTCAGACTGGTGCTGGGCAGATAAAGCTGGGTCTAATGGAGAGCAAACAGAAGTGCTGCCCTGAGCTCCCGGCCTCAGCCCTCCCTGGAGCTGGAACACCGGAGCTCACTGAAGCCTCTCCACCGGCTCAGAGGGGCTAGGTGCACCACAATGGGCTTCCCTCAGTGGCCTGCCCAGCATGACCCTGGAAAGGTCACTCTTGCTGCAATCACTGTGCCTCACCTAGAAGCGTGAGGCTGGACTTAAATTACGGCACCTTATCTTTACATGTGACACTTTATATATGACACTCCATAGTTTACATGTGACACTCCCTAATTTCAATGTGCCTCCACATACCTGACCCTCCTCAACTACTCGAGGAGTTGGGTGGAACAGATAATATCATCATCTCATGGGCAGGAAAACAGACAGAGGTTTTCCTGCCCATGAGATGACAGAGGTAGAGACCCAGCCAAGGTCACACAGCAAATTAGTAGTTGTTCCAGACGAGTGCAGGGGGAAAGGTGGGTCCTGAGGCACAGTTCCGACTCAGTTGATAACAAACGGTGTCATCTTGAATGAGCTGCGTAACCTCTCTGGGCCTAGGCTTTGGTCTAAGGTGATTCCTTTCAAAGGGTAAACAGATTGGCTGCCACTATCTTTGTGGCTGGGTTTTTCAAAGTCAGGAACCCCAGGGAACCCAATCGTGTGTCGAGGACCATACAAAACCAGTTTAAACATGGCACATCTTCCCGGAGCCTCATTTCTACACTCAGATATTTTGGGAGGGAAAATAGCCAACATAATGAAATCTTTTTTTAGATTGTAAAACAAGATGGTTATATTGTAAAAGAAGATGCAAAAATTCCAATTTTAAAAGCAAAACAGAAAATGTCAAGAACACACAGTGCTTGCTGCAGTCTGTCTCGGTTCTGCAGAGGATGTATTTGCTCTCTCCTGACTCCTGAGAGCTTGGTGGGAGAGTTTGGGAAGTACTGCCAGGGACCCACCCTGAGAAGCCTGGCTTGGCTCTTTCTAATGGGTATTCGAGCCTCACTAGGCAGTGAGCTGCCCATATTCCTGGTGAAGGTGAGATGGAGCTGTTTTCATAGCATCTTACATGAGGGTTCTGGTCTTAGGCTGTGCATTAGAATCACCTGATGAGCTTTCAAACAGGACTCATGCCAGAGTCCTCCCCCGCCACCCCCACCCCACCTCCCTGCCCAGGTGCACCAGAGTTCCTGGGAGTGGCTAGAGCACCCTGTGTCTTAAAACCTCCCAGGTGATTCTAAAGTGCAGCTTCTGCTGCCGACACTGACAGTTTAGACCTCAGAGTTCAGGGATCCCAAGAGCATCTGTCTCTGGTGGGAAACAGTGGCACAGACAGCCTGCTTTCTACCCCCTACCTACCAACCACACTTAGACTAGTGGGCAAATGAGGCTGCATTCCACCCCTAGCTAAAAAAGGGTGCGGAGATTAGGGGGCCGGTGGAGAACAATACGAAACTTTGTAGGGGCCGGGAAGGCTATACTGTGTTGGATAGCATCCCCCCAAATTCACGTCTTTCCCAGAGCCTCAGAACGTGGCCTTATTTGGAAATAGAGTCACTCTAGGTATAATTAGTTAAGACACAAGAGTGGTGTGGGTCCTTCCTCCGATCTGACTGCTGTCCTTATGAGACGAGGGAGAGAGTACACGTGAAGACAGAGGTGCAGGCCCAAGCAGAGCAGGAGCTGGAGGAGGTCTGGGACAGGCTCTCTCTCCCTCAGCACACCCAGAAAGAACCGCCCTGCTGCAACACCTTGATTTCAGACTTCTCGGCTCCAGAAATGGGAAATAATGAATTTCTGTTATTTTAAGTAAAACTTGACCAAGTCAGCCCTATGGGAAACGAACGCAGAGGCTAATGTCAGTGAGTCCTCCCTTGAGGGGCTGGAGGGGGAGGGGCTCAGCACCTTCCTAGCTGCACTGATGGGCATCTAGGGAACCACATGTCGCTGGCTTGATGCCAGTGGTTCTGTGAAGGAAATGAACATTGGTGGGCTCATTTTGCTGAAAAGCTGAGGGACAGAGTAAACATGGCCTGTCCAAAGCATCACTCTCTGAAGAAAAGACAAGAACACAGGAGTCAGTTCATGTACCCATTCATTCATTCACTCACTCACTCACTCGCTGACCACCCCATCACGGAGCCCTACCATGCATTCCCAGAACACACAAGTACATGAGACCAGAGCAGCCTGGCCCTGTCCTCAGGGAGCCTGAGCCAGTGCTCTGCTCATCAATGAGGAAGCAGGCCCATGGGCGCTAAGATTTCTCCAATCTGGACATTTGGTGACTTAGAGGGAGGCAGAAGGGCAGCCCCAGGGACCACTGTGCTGCCACTGGGGCATTTTCGGTGGTCACAGCTGTTAAGAGGCAGGGTTGAGGAAGGGCTGAGGGGCTACACACCCATGAGGATGTGGAGCCGGCCCTCTGCTCCCCTGGGGCATCTGGTGAAGCACACTTTACTGGAGAGCTGGGGGGATCAGTGACAAAAAGCGGCCCGCCGCAGGACACCACGGGAAGTGAGATGGGCTCAGCGGCCACTGATAATTGTACAAAACTGAAAATCTCTAGAATATTTCCAGTCCTTTGCTCTTATCAAACATCACATGGGAAACACTGGCAAGTTGTGCGGGACCCTTTCCAGAAGGAAGGGAACTTCACCCGTATGGCCTTTTGCAGGGAGAGTTTCTTGGAGTTTCAGCCTGCGAGTGGGCTGGGCTTCCTGTTCTGGGTTCACCCCACCTCCAGCCACTCTCTTGTGCACCTGGACTCGCCATGAAAGGCGGCTTTCTAGATGGACTCTCCAGCCAGGAGACATCTCTGCTTCTCAGGCTCTCTGGTTTTCCCTTCACATTTTTGAGAGTTACATGACACCCCGCAGCCAGCAATCATGGAGGACTAAGAAATACAAAGTTCAGGGCCTGAGGCCACTACGGCCTCCACTGTGGTTTTTCTGGAGCTCCATTTCATTTGGGGTAGAGGTGAATGCTTCCCTCCAGAGACCCCAGCAGGCAGGGGCTGAAGAAAGTTGAAGGAACAGTTGCTTCCTCCATGGTAGGGTATTCTTTGGCATGGATGCAGCCTGACAGCAAGGGGACAGGCGGCCCAGGACAGCCACAGGGCTGGACACAATGAGGAGCGGCTGGAGGCGAGACACATGTGCCATGGGCTCCCTCTCAGTCTTCGGGACAGCCTGACAACAGCAGTAATCATTAGCTCCGCAACTGCTTTCACTGTAAGTCCATGTTGACTGACACTTACACAGAATTAAAACACAACAACAGTTTGCAGTTAACTTGGCCTTTTATGACCTCACAGACTTTTATGAGGAAGTCTTGGGTTGCCTTATTTTCAAAGGGAAGCCAGCAGGTATGATGGGGACCCCAAGAAAGAGCTGAGAGCAGACCCCAAATCAAAAAGGTAAATGAAAAAAGCAGATAACCTGTTTTATGTTTGTAAAAGCAACACGTGGTCACAGGGGACAATTTGGAAGACACATAAAAGTTTGGTTTTTTTTTTTTTTGAGACGGAGTTTCGCTCTTGTTACCCAGGCTGGAGTGCAATGGCATGATCTCAGCTCACCACCACCTCCGCCTCCCGGGTTCAGGCAATTCTCCTGCCTTGGCCTCCTGAGTAGCTGGGATTACAGGCACACACCACCATGCCCAGCTAATTTTTTTGTATTTTTAGTAGAGACGGGGTTTCACCATGTTGACCAGGATGGTCTCGATCTCTTGACCTAGTGATCCACTCGCCTCGGCCTCCCAAAGTGCTGGGATTACAGGCTTGAGCCACCGCGCCCGGCCAACACATAAAAGTTTTAAAAATAAAGTAGAAGCCACCCATCCCTACAGACAACTGTCAGTGTTCTGGGCTATATCTACCCTTGCTGATTGTGAAAATATGTCTTTGCATGTGTGCCTTAAAAACAAAAATGGAAGCAGATTTGGCACTACAGTTTTTGATTTCACACATGAGGGTCTAAAAACCTGTAATATTTCAGGTAAATCTGATATAGGGATCAATAAAGAGAATAAAATTAAACTACGAGCAATTCAGCGCCTAATCCATAAGGCACTCCATTAGGTGGTATGCCGGATTGGAGATGTCTGGTGTTCAGAACCTGGCCTTGACACTGCAGAGGGACGGGAGAGGAGCAGTAGGGACAGCACTGATAGTCACATCCTCAGCTCCATTTTGAGCCATTGGGTCCTCAAAATGGTTTGCTGCATTAAGCAGAGTGCAGCCCGTCCCAAAGGCTCCTCGTTATTTATTCACTCAATAAATATGTACCTGTGCCTATTGCGTGTCAGGTGTAGGGGTGTTTAGGTTTTGGAACAGGGAAGGATTGTGGTGAGAGCAGCGTTTCAGGAGATTTATACAAGCACTGCTGACCAGATGGAAAGGCATGATGGATAATATGTGTTGACTTGCCTAGGTCATAGTACCCACATATTCGGTCAAATACTAGGCTAGGTGTTGCTGTGAAGGTATTTTTTAGATGATATTAACATTTCATCAGTAGACTTTGAGTAACCAGATTACCTTCCATAATGTGGGTGAGCCTTGTCCAATCACCCACTGAAATCTGGTCAGATTTCAGATTTGCCAGCTTCCACAATTGCATAAATCAATTTCTTAAAATCTATTTGCCTATCATCTGATATCATCTATCTATCCACCCATCTATCCACCACCCCCCCCCAACCCATCCACCAATCTATCTACATCCATATCCTGTTGGTTCTGTTTCTCTGGAGAACCCTGAGTCATAGAGATAGGAATGGACAAAGTCAGGAGGAGGGAGGTCAGCTGGGCCAGTCAAGATGCTGGGAGGGGTATGTGAATGTCTATGTTTGTGTGAAGATAACTGTGTGTGTATGTTTGTACATTTGTGTGTCAGTGTATGTATGCTTATGCCAGCATATATGTGTCTGTGCCTGTGTATATATCTGTACCTCTCTGTATGTCTTTGTGTTATATCTGTATGTGTGTGCCTGTCTGTATATCCACATGAGTATGTCTGTGTCTGAGTGTCTGTGTATTGGTGCATGTCTACATGAGTCTGTGTGTCAGTGTGTGTGTTTATCTACATGAGTGTCTGTGTCCGGTGGGGGATGCAGGCAGTTGAGACAGTTTACTGGGAGGGAGAGTACAAGCTGGGTCTGGGGACCAGACAGGAAGGTGGACAAGCAGGAAGGCAGGTCACATGGTGGGCAGAGCTGGAGCAGTCCATGGAAGGGAGCAGAAGACTCAGGCAGCTTAGGGAACAGGAGAGCCAGAAGTCACAGGTAGTACAGAGAGGTCTTTGGGGGCAGTTTAGGGACATACCCATGCCATTCATGCCCAGGGATGGGTTTTTCAAGCAGGTTGGGACAATAAGGCTTGCACAGAGTGTGTGGCAGTGGAGAGGAAGACCTGGAGTCGAGGCCCATGAGAATGGTGAAGAGAAATAGGGCAGTCAGGGTGGGAATTGGTTTGGAGTTGATGATGACTTCAGTTTTAGACCTGTTGGGTTTGTGGGAACCACAGAATAAGACTTTCAAGGGTGAGGAGGGGTAGTGATCAGTATCATGTTCCAGAAAGAACAAGGAAAATGCAGAGTGAGAAGAAGCCATTGGCTTTGACAAGAGGGAGGGGAGGCAGTGGGCCTCCATGTGGAGGGCAGCATTTGTGGGCCCCCTACTATGAATATATAGAAATGAAAGAACAGGAGATACCACATGAATGGCGGCAGAGCTGAGTGACGGGAGCCCTGTGCAGATCTGAATGAAGAATGAAACTCGGTCTTCAACACATTCAGGATGGATCCCATTAAGAACTTCCTCTGAGAGCTGGCAAACTGATATCCTTTAATCATGCTTTATATTTATAAAGGCCTTCCTCCAAAGAACTCCGAGTGCTCAGAGACATTAATTAATGCACTCTCCCAGCCTGCTTTAGGGAAAAGTTGGTGGCAGGTATCATCACTATGTTTGTAGGCATGGAAACTGGCAGACATGAGAATGATGCTACCAACCAAGGTCACAAAGCTAGTTTGTGGCCAGAAAGGAAGAAATTCAGGGAGATGTCCTACCTGGCTCTCCTCCTTCTGCGGCTAGGCCATCCTATATCACCCACATCTTGCCAGGACTCTCCTCCCCCAACCCCCACAAATTACTGGTGAGACTTGGCTATCAGACCAACTACAGGGCCTCAGGCTTCAGAGAGTGGCCCCCGGAGGGATGCTGGGGCCAGGTGTGGGGCTTGGGGACCAGGTCTTTTGTCTGCACCATCTTGGACTACATGCGAACCTAAACAGCTTACTTCTGCTTACTTATTTACTACCAGCAAATGCCGAAACCAAACAATAACAACATCTCCAAACTCAAGAAAGCATGCAGTCACTCAGTTGTGTTTCACAGGTACCGGCACACAAGAATTCTCTAGCACTGTAAAGTGAGGAAATACCCCAATCCTTATGCTTCAGGCGGTGCAAACCCAAACCATGTGCTCAGAAGCAAAATGCTCTCTAAATGCAAAGAATATCCAGGACAGCCCACTAAGAAGATACTTTGGTCACCTCTGGTGGTAATGATGATACCTGCCACCAACTTTTCCCTAAAGAAGGCTGAGACAGTGAATTAATTGATATTTTTGAGCACTTGGAGTTCTCTGGACAAAGGCCTTTATAAACATAAGGCATGACTGAAGGGTATCAGATTGCTAACTCTCAGAGCTTGGGTTTTATCAGGCCAAGAAAGGAAGGGAATGCCAGGGGTCCCAGTGGCAGAGGTGATCTGCAAAGTCCTCTACTGTGGCCCCGGAGGGTGCAGATGTAGGGACCACTAACCTAAAGACATGCAGTCCTCCCTGAGACTGCACCTGCCAATGCCTGCCAAGCCCTGTGGGCTGCCGATACCCAGGCTGTTGAATAATGAGGACTGGCTCCTGTGGGATCAGTTAAGCAGTACATATTCCCAGTCTAGAGTTTAATACCCTAGACATGGGTGGACATGGGAAACTCAAGGGCCACCAGCATGCTGGCTCAATGCCAAAGTTTAATTAGGCCCTAAATCTCCAGTGATTACACTAGGGGACCAATCCCCTGAGGCCAGCCAAAGGGAGAAGCATCCCGAACAGCATTGCATCGGCCTCCTTTGAGTCTTTCCCCTCAACTCATTGTTTGCTGAGACGTTGCTTGTTAGTGCAAAGAATCCCTTCCAAGTCACTGAGTAGCTGTACAGAAAATCAGAGGGCCACTGGCTAACGATCTCAACTGTCTCCTCAGGTAGGCTGTTTCCCACACCTGCCTGCTGCAGCCTGTGGAACCAGGAGTCCTGCAGGGGACAGGGTGTAGATGAGCATAATCACACTTCCATTCTTGGGTTTCCATGGGCGTTTGGTCAGAAGTCAGCAAAACTATGACTTGCTCAGAAAACAGAATGATTGGGCTCTTTGGGAGATCCCAAAGGCCCAATCACTCTGCAGGGCTGGGGCCTGGGACCTGAAAGTGAAGCCTAATCTTTTTGGGAGCCCCTGGGGAGGAAAAGGGTTATGTGAAGTGGTTCTGAAAGGAGGAAGGACCTGAGAATTTCAAAGAACCTCTGTCTTTTCCTTCCTGTCTCCATCCTTCTTTCAGAGCCCTGGAGGGGAGCATTCCAGCTTCTTACAGTTATGGTGAAGAGGGCCAACACCAAAATGTCACTCAAGGCCCAGACCCATTTCATGATCTGGGTGGGCATGGGTGAGAATAACATTTCCACAGAACTGATTGATGAAGGACGTGGGTACAAGTTTAATATAGGTGGAGCTGATATGAAGGAAGGTTGTGAGAAGAAAACCTTTCTTGTCTTTCTCCGACTTTCTGTTTTCATTCAAAGAGAGCAGGATTAAGTTCTCAGGTCTTGGAGTCACATGGCTGGAGTCTGCAGCCTGGAGGAGACCACCTGGCCATCGGGTCCTACCCGTCTGTGCACCTACTTGCTCACCCCATGGTTCCTCTACTAGCAATGAGTTTCCTAAACAGGGCATGGCCAGATTCCTACCTTGTGCAACTTCTGCTGTAGCTGGAGAAGGAGCATTCGAGCCTCCTTCGTGTTCATGAAATGAGTTCTGATACGTTAGAATAACGTCCAGCACATAGTATGTTTTGTATGGCAGCATCCTTTCCCCTCTTCAGCGGGGGTTTGGTTGGCTATGGAGATTTGCCCACACTGCCACGACTCCTGGCAGGCCCCGTGTTCAAAGAGTGTGGGAATAGAGTACTGGCCGATGTCTGACGGTCAGCACCGCAGTGGGCCGTAAAGCAGCAGCAAAGGGAGCAGCCAGCTCAGATAGGGCGCAGGAGATGAAAGCCAGCCGTGTTTTCCTTTCCAGAGTGCTGCTGTGTTCCTGAAGGCCTGCAGCTTCCTCTGCCCTGCTGGGTTTTTTTTTTTTCT